CCAATAACCCAATATTAAAAACCAATAACGAACCGATAACCCAATAACTTTTTTTTGTAAAACCATTAAATAACCGTTATCCCAATAACCCAATAACAATAAACCAATAACACTTTTTTCGGTTCGGTTTATCGGTCGGTTCGGTTTTTGCACACCCCTATAAGCAGGTGCATCACCTACTTGACCGATTAGTGGCTGAAAATGAAGCTTTCTAGTGGATATTCTTAAAGGTAAAGAAAGCTCAATATAAAGATATATTGGCTGCTATTATCACTCATTTTAACACACATTATTGAGGATTAGCTCCAGCTCTTTCTCTCTCTTTTCTTTTAAGGATTAAACAGCAGCCTTAAAGTTCTTCTAGGGTTCTTGAAGAAACCCTCATCTCAGCAAGACAAGGTAAGTGAAAACACTTATGGATTTAGCTTAATTCTCCCATGGATAATTAGGAAAACATGTTATTCATGCTCAAGTATAAGTATAAAGGAATAATATTTGTCTTCCTCCTTATGGATGTGTTTGAGTGAGGAATTAGGGGTTTGCTGTCATAAAGAACTCAATGGGGTGGTGAGTTCAATAATTGGTTATATGATAAAGAATACTTGACGCTGTTTTATGTGTATTGTTGTTGGTGCAGTTTGGGTAATCTTGGAAAAGGATATATAATGTATGTATTGGGCAGAGAATAAAGGTGTGGTGATACACATTGTTTTAAGGGTTGTTTGGGCTCATTATCTGTCAAAGTTAGCTACTGTTTTACGAGGCTCACGGTGTGATAGCTGCTAATTTAAATTTATCATGACTTATATTGTAGATTAAAACTTGAAAGGGGAGGCTGAATCGTGATAGTTGTATTGATCAGAAGATAAGGTATGTAAGGCTATTCGATTCAATATTCTTCGGCATGAAATCTGATACTTGCGATTAATATCAATAAGTGAATTTCCTAAGTTCTATTCCTAGTAAAGGAAACATAGTGGCAGCGTATGATCTCCAAATAACTAACAATATTTCCCCCCTCTCCTTAGTGTATAAAATTACTACATTATATGTTTAGTACTCTATACTTGTGTAATTATCCTCCTATGTGTTGGTATAGAAAATGGTATTTGCAAAAGCAAGTTTGGTGAATCCTCATTTTAGTCAGTTGAAGTCAATTGTGTCATTTAAGCTCACAAGTAATGCATTGATGTTACATAGCTCCTTATGTCATTGTTACTGCCTTGAAGTATTATTTTCATTTCTTCTACTACTGGTCCGTAGTTTCAAATTATAAAAAATGATTATGACCACCAAAACAACAATCTCAAAGATTAAAGAATCTAAGTAAAGAAATCTGTATAATTAAGGGTGACAACTCAAGGGCGGAAGCCTAGCATGGGCCGATCCCAATTGGTATAGAAGGGTGGCAGCTCAGGGGAGTAAGCCTAGCATGGGCCAATCCTAATTTGTGTAATTATGAGGACCGCATCCCAGGGGTTAAAATGCCTAGCATGGGTCATCCTCTTCTACCACTGATCAGGTGGTCATTCGTATTACATGCCTTATAAAGATCATAACACACAGAAAGGTAAAGACAAGAATGTAACATACATGATCCCACAAGAGTTAACAAAGGTGGTCTTCTGTTCTGATTTATGCACAGATATATTGATACTTGGTTTCATTCGAACTCTTATTTTATATGTGTTATTGCCTTACAGATTCAGTACATTTTCTCATACTGACATTTCTTGCGGGGGACGCTGTATTTCATGCTGCAGGCACATGTACTTCAGCTAGTAGACCTCCTCGGTAAGAGCACACGACACTCAGCTACTTTTGGTGAGCTCCAGATTGATTCGGAGCTTTACTGAGTCTTTGGTAGATTCATTTTGGGTATAGTATCGTAGTTAAGAGTAAGGATGGGTCTGTCCCTACCTACTCTAAGGTTTTCTATCTTTTAGAGGCATTGTAGACTTATGTTTATGGTTCAGTTGCGTCTTAACAAGTTGTGGCCTCAACGGCCAAGTCTTGTATATAAGTTTTGGGTCTACTTATGTTGGTTCGTATCGCTGCATCCTATGTGAACTTGTCACAAGATTGTCATAGTTATATGCATAGTAAGCACAGGTTACATGTTGGGTTCTCTTCAGGCCTAGAGGGCATCGGGTGCCTGTCCGTCTTAATGGGATTTGGGACGTGACAATGTGCACGTTCGTTGCATATGTATCTCAGTACAATTTTTTAAAATTACTATAGTTTTATTTCTAAACTCTTCCAAATAGATCATTGTTTTTTGTTGCATATATAAATAGGATTTGATTATAACTGACTATGATCTTAAAATTTCCAATATAACCTTGGCAAATCTTTCGATAAAACCTTTAGACACTTCTCTGGAAAAAAAATGATACATACCTTCTAATTAAAAAAAAAGAATGAAAGACACGTCAATAATCTCTTTTCAAAACTAAAGAAGAAATATTCTCTTTGCTATTCTTACATGTATATTGTTCTTTGATTTGGTAATGACAGATAGTTTTTACTTACAAAAAAGGGATAAGGGTCTAAAAAATACCTCAATTTTAGTCGAATTTGCTGTTGCGATACTAAACTTTCATGAGGATCTATTACCTCCCTAGACTATTTAATACCGTATTTT